CTGTGGCCATGTGTGTGGACACTGCAGCGAGTGAGACGACCCCTGCAGGGTTCGGAGCCAGCAGGGGAGAAGCTCAAGAAGCAGGAGAAAGTGAGGAAAGCTCTCCAGGCGGGGAGGCCTGGGAGACACCCTGTCCAAGCAGGGGAGAGACTGCCAAGCCCAGTGGGAAAGGCCTGTGGAGGAGGACAAACACCAGGTAGGAGGTGCTGGGAAGCCGGAAGACAGTCCCTCGGGGAGGTAGGGCTGTGCCCAGCTGAAACTGGGATGAAGACTGGGTGAGTTTGTGTTCTGTTTTTGAAAGTCTGTGTTTTGGATTATCAGGAGTGAAACGCTGCACTGGGGCCTAGAGGGCCAAGATGTCCCTGGGGACTCAATTTATTGGACTGCAGGAGGTGATGGTTTGAACTACCTTTAAACCGAGTGAGTTGTTAAAGGGCCCTGAAGAGGGGGAAACAGGCAAGGTGCTGAAAAGTGGCCTCTGGCCACAAATTGCTACTTGAGAGCTGCTCATGTTACACTCTCCTGTTCTCAATCTCAGGGTGTCAATTGAACATCTTCCACTTGCAACAAAAATCATCAGAACAATACACGCAATATGTATCACTACTCTGGTTTCTCAGCAGCACGTGCTCACCCCATTGCCAGGAGTGAGAATTGTGAGATTAGAGGAAGCAATCGGCATTAGAAACGTTGGGTCTATCGTGACCGGGATGTGGGGTTTTCAAATGTGCTTTTCCTCTTCACTTGGCAGATGGGAAGGATCCTTCAGAGCTAGAACCAGATTGGTGGATGGCCATCGAGAGTTACAGCAGAACCTCTCTGTACATATTGCCATGCCCTCATAGTGCAGATGCCACCTAGGCATAGAATCCTAGAGCCACAGGGTGAGAAGGGGCCACAAGGGTCAGCTAGTCTCCCCTGCTGGCAAGATGCAGGATTTGTTGTGTGTAAACCAGGGGGTCTCAAACTTCCTTGCACCGTGACTCCCAGGGGCGGCTCTATGTTTTTTGCCGCCCCAAGCATGGCAGTCAGGTGGCCTTCGACAGCACACCTGCGGACGGTCCACTGGTCACGTGGATTCGGCAGTGTTTCTGTGGGTGGTCTGCCGGTCCCACGCCTTTGGCATGCCCGCCGCCGAATTGCTGCTGATGACACGGGACCGGTGGACCTCCCACAGGCAGGCCGCTGAAAACTACCCGACTGCCGCCCTCACAGCGACTGGCAGGGTGCCTCCCGTGGCTTGCCACCCCAGGCACACGCTTGTTGCGCTGGTGCCTGGAGCCACCCCTGGTGACCCCCCTTCTGACAACAAAAATTACTACACGACCCCAGGAGGGGGGACCGAAGCCTGAGCCTGCCCAAGCCCCACTGGCCCAGGTGGGGGGAGGGGGCAAAGCCCAAGGGCTTCAGACCCAGGCAGAGGGCCCAGAACCTGAGCCCCGCTGCCCAGGGCTGAAGCCCTCGGGTTTCGGCCCGTGGTGGTGGGGCTTCGGCTTTGGCTTTGGCCCCAGCAAGTCTTAGCCAGACCCAGCGACCCCATTAAAATGGGGTTGTGACCCACTTTAGGGTCCTGGCCCACAGTTTGAGAACCATCCAAGACCGATGCTCTCCAGCCTCCTTTTGAAAACCTCCAGTGAAGGAGCTTCCACAACCTCCCGAGGTGTCTGTTCCATGCTCACAGTTAGGAAGTTTTTCCTGAGATTTAATCTAAATCTGCTGTGCTACAGTTTGAACCCATTGCCTCTTGTCCTGCCCTCTGTGGCAAGAAAGAACAACTTTTCTCCACCTTTTTTGTGGCAGCCATTCAAGGATTTGAAGATCGCTATCATGTCCCCCACCTTTATCTTCTCTTTTCCAAACTGCACAGACCAGCCATTGCTCATATGGCTGCATTCCATCCCTTTGATCATCTTTGTCACTCGCCTCTGGATCCATTCCAGCTTTTCTCCATACTTTCCATACAGGGATGTGTTCGATGATGGATGAAGATGTTCTCACAGAAAAAGAAGCAACTCTTTAGCCATAAGATCGGTTTAGCGCTAGGTGCAGATGGACATTGGGGGCTGCTTCTTATCCCATCCAGTGCAGTGGTGAGTTAGGTTCATCACCCTCCTTAATGGTCTTATGACAGGCCTGAGTCCTGGGAGATTCTGAACACCCCTCTCCAGGGGCATTTGGGGGGAATTTTCAAAAGTAGCTACGTGACTTAGGAGCCTAAGTCCTGTTGGCAAAAGTTACTGATTTCAATGGGAGTTAGATACTGATATACTTTTGAAAAGCCCACCTACAACTTTTGGTGCCTAAACGCCATTAAAAATCTGCCCTGCAAGTGCCTAAGTCCCCTCTGAAAATTGGAAGCCCCTAAATCACTTAGGTATTTTGAACTATGTTATCTTCAGCTCCTCACAGGCTGGAGCCCATATTTTTATGGGTTATATACTGGACACACCTGAGAATTCAGACCCGCTTTTGCCAGCTACAGTCGTTCATTCTTTGTCCTTTAGGCTGCCATTCGCTGTCGCTCACAGCAGGAAGATCAGATAGGAAAATACTGATACTTACGAGTGATGGTCACTTGGGTTCCGGCTCCTGACACAGACCAGTTCCTCGCTGTGCTCCCCACCTCACACACGTAGGTTCCTGTATCGGTTACATTCACGTTCTTCAGAGTGAACGAAGCAAAACCCTTTTCCAAAGCCAGGGCTGCTGGGTCCCTGACTCTTTCGCTCATCAGCTCCTTCTTCGTTCCCCCAGTTCCGCTATGTTTATACCATTTCACATACAAGGTCTTGTGTTTATTCCATACCGTGAATCTACACTCCATGGTGAGATCTGACCCTTCTGACACAGGGATATTGGCTGGGGTCTGATTCACCATCAGCTCGGGAAAATCTGCAGGAGAGAAACAGACGATTGCACCTTGATTCAGGAGAATTTCAGTGGCAATGGCTGGTGACTGGGGATGTATTCAAATAAATGTCTCCCCCGCCAGTATTTTGTGTTCTTTTCCCAGCCTGGCCATTTAACATCCCCTGCTTATCAGAGGTTAAATTGATGCTTTCACTTAGTTCCACTCATAGCTTTATGATGCCTGGCAAGACCAGCAAACCATCCCCGCACCTCCCCTCCATCCCCCCGAATGTTCAGTCTGGGCACGCAGGCAGGCTTTGAATCTACCAATGGGTGTGCATGCAACGTGGGCAAGCATAGGTTTAGAGACTAATTTGAGGCCATGTGAAACATTTGGCTGTAAAGAATCTAAAATGGAAACATTGTTCCCCATTAATACCTGCCTACAGGGCTCTATCTTGCAAGGAGTTTAGTGCTTCTGAGCAGGCGTGGAGCACCCTCAGCTCCCATTGAAGGTGGAACTGAAGACACTCAACACCTTCCAGGAGACGTGTGTTCTTGTTCTCACTCACTCGCCCCCATTTCCCCAAGAAAATCAGGTAGGAAAATCCGGCACTTACTCTCGATGGTCACTTGGGTTCCTGTTCCATTCCCAGAGAGGTTCCTTGCTGTGATCCCCACCTCACACACGTAGGTTCCTGTATCAGATGAATTTGCGTTCTTCAAAGTGAGAGAGGCAAACCCATTGTCCAAATGCAGGGTTGTGATCACATCGCTGTCATTCATCAGCTCTTTCTTTAGTCCCTCAGTCCCATAGTTATACCATCGCACATACATGGTGCTGTGGTTATTGACTGTCTTGAATGTACAATTCATGGTAAGTTCTGAGCCTTCGAAATCACTGACACTGGTTGGGGTTTGATTCACCATCAGGTCGGTAATTTCTGCAGAAAGAGAAACACAGATTATGGCACCTTCATTGAGAAATAGTTCAAAGTGCCAGCAAACAAGGGCACATGTATAAAATGAATCTCTCCAGTCCTGCCGTTTAGTTTCCCCTGCTTGTTAAGAGTTTAAATGGATGTTCTTTTGTTTGGCCCCATATAGAGCTGTTTCGTGCATGTCAAGACTTTTCTGCTCTGTTTAGTGAGCAGGTAACCCCAGAAGCTTCAGTCTAGACAAACCTCCTCCAACAATGTGACATCTTACCCGAACCTTGTGTACACCTGACATGCCTGCCAAATTCCTTACATTCAAACCCTTCTTGAGACCTATTTCCCTCCACCAGCCCAATGCAGGGCAAGAGAGAGGGTGGCCAATTCTCCTTCGTTACAGAAAAATGGGATTCCCTGAAGGACGTGCAATGGGCAGTTCTGAGACGTGATGCACTTCTGCTGGCAATGGCAGGGGAGTGAGGATCGAGGTGCAACTGTTATTCTGGGCAGGGCTGTGCTTACAGCATAGTGAGAGAGTGTCAGCAAGTCTTTAGCACTGGTTTTACTGGTGGAAACTTCAGCAGCTCCAGGGCCAGGCGGCAGCTGAGCAGGGGTTTTGAGGATCTCGATGGCCCCCAGATGTTGGATTTAAGGGCCTAAAGCCCTGTGTGGATTTAGTCCTTTAATCTCTCTGTGTCTCACTTCCCAATCTACTGTTAGGACGTCTGCCCGATCTCCCCCGTTTTGTCTGTCTTGTCTCTTTAGAGTGTAAATTCTTTGGCTCAGGGGCTCTCTCAGTATGTCCATGTACAGTGGAGCTGATTGCAAATGTTCTGGCAAAACTTACCTTAGACTGAAAATGCCAATGCACTGAAGAGAACTGATTCACCAAATCTACTACAGATTTGACTCCACTTTCGTCAAAACACACGCCGGTTTCTGTTGGTGTTCCAAGATCCACAGGGTTCAAAAAAGAACTAGATAAGTGCCTGGAGGATGGTCCATCAATGGCTGTTAGCCAGGATGGGCGGGGATGGGGATGCCAGAAGCTGGGAATGAGCGACAGGGGATGGATCACTGGATGATTCCCTGTTCTGTTCATTCCCTCTGGGGCACCTGGCAATGGCCACTGTCAGAAGACAGAAGACTGGACCTTTGGTCTCACCCAGTCTGGCCGTTCTTATGTTCTTCTGTCCCGCAAGCCCCAGCTCGGGGAGTCGGGAGTTGAGTCTCGGCGCGGGTGGGCTCCCCATGCTGTGGCAGAGCCAGGTCTCTAGGGGCTCTTGTTGTCTGCTCGGCTCCCTGCTCGAGCCAGGGCTCTTGGCGCTTCCAGTGTCCCTGCCATGGAGCTGGAAGCCTGGAAATTCCAGGACCAGCTCCCCAGGGTGCAGCTCTGGGGTCGCTCTGCCATGCAGACTGCCCCAGGCTGGAGATCCCAGGGCCTCTAGAGTCCTGGGCCAGTGACTCCCCAGGCTGCTCTACTTGTAACTGGCCTCTGGGACTCTGGAAGCCTTTGGGTCCCTGGCCCGGGTGCAGTCCTGATCCGTCTTGGTTTGGAATGAAGCCAGTTCTGAAACAATGAAACTTCTCACAAACTGAAACCGCCAGCTCTAGTGTACAGCGCCTAGCACAGTTGGCCCAACATGTTGGTTAAGGCCTCAAAGGGCTGGTCTACACTTTGGCGGGGGGATCGATCCAAGATACGCAACTTCAGCTACACGAATAGCAGAGCTGAAGTCGAAGTATCTTGGATCGAATTACCTGGGGTCCACACGGCGCAGGATCAATGGCCGCGGCTCCCCCATCGACTGCGCTACCGCCGCTCACTCTGGCAGAGTTCTGGAGTTGACGGTGAGCACATTCGGGGATCGATATATCGCGTCTTAACAAGACGGATAAATCGATTGCTACCCGCCGATACGGCGGGTAGTGAAGATGTACCCTAAGCACCATTGCAAAGCAAACACTCAATAACAACCTATTACTGAGCATACAACTTCATCCTGACTCTACTCAGCCCTTTGTGGGTTTGGGTTAGACTCTGCGGGGGGCTAAACTAGAGGGATGCCCACGTTTTGTTGCTTCTGTAGGTCAAGCACATTGCATGCACCAGGGACTCTTTGCATACCACTGTCCCCACAAGGTCCCTGGGGGCCACCCTCCCATCCCCCTCTATTTCAGGGACTCCCTAGCCGCCCCCCCCCCCCCCCCCCGCCCAGGAGCTCTGTGTGTCCCCCATTTCTTCCTGCCCCCATGCTACAGTCCCCAAGCCAGGAGCTCTCTGTGCCCTAATCCTCTCCCTTTCCACCATTCCAGGGTCCCCCATTCTCCCTGCATGCTCGGGGCTTTAGCTGTACCCTCATTCCAGCATTATCCCCAGACCAGGTCCCCCATTCTCCCCGTGTCAGGGGCTCTGTGAGCCTTCCCCTCCCCCCTTCCCCACTATTATTATTTCTCCTCTTTCTGCCTGGGACATAAATAATCCAGAGTGTCAGCATGTTACACTCTACTGGGGGAAGGAGCAGAGATGAGATGGGAATGTTTTCCTACTGGAAAGTGTTAATTGGTGCCACAAACTGGTTCTTTGATTTAGACAGTTACAGAGGTGCTTTGCTCCAAGCTGTTACTCTGCTAAACAGGGAGCAGGCACTCCACATGTCCCCCACTTTCCCCTTTGGGTTTTCTGATTTCCCCAATATCAACAGAGTTCTGCCCAGTGATGCCTTCAATACTCCCTGAAATGTTGGAATTGATGGGCTGCGGGGTTCCAAATTATCGTGTCACAGACCAAGAGAAATGCCATCACGTTGAGTGCACTGTAGCTGTGTCAGTCCCAGGATATTCGAGAGACAAGGTGGGTGAGGGAATAGCTATTATTGGACCAACTTCTGTCAGTGAGAGAGATGAACTTTCGAGCTCCATAGAGCTCCTCCTCGGGTCTGAGAGAGGTACTCCCAGCACCACAGCAAAATGCAATGCTTAAACTCCCGTCTAGATTTCCACCACAACTTCAACAACCACCACCCACCCAGCCATTAAACTCTCTGGGGAACACTCCCACACTAGCATCAACTTCCTGGACACCACCATCCACTTCAACAATGGAACCCTACAGACAACCCTAGACAAGAAACCCACAGATCACCACACCTCCCTTCATAAACCCAGTAACCACCCCCAAACAACCAAGAAATCTGTAATCTACAGCCAGGCATTGAGATAGCACAGAATACGCTGCTAGGAGACAGCCTGGGATACACACCTTAATGCACTCAAAACCGCCTGCACCAAACAAGGACATTCTACTAGAGAAGTAGATTGCATCATGGAATGGGCTGTCCAAATACCCTGAGAGACCATGCTTGAATACAGAAATAAAACCTCCTCTGACTGCACACCAGTTGCTACCTACCACACTACACTGGAACCTCTACGGGGTATCATCAAACAACTATAACCCATACTCGATGGGGACCACATCCTGAAACAAATCTTCCCTGAACCCCCACTTCTGACCTTCAAACAACCCCCCAGCCTCTCCAAGGGCATCATCAGATGAAAGCTCCACACAGACCAGGACACACCAACTCAAAGCAGCACCAGATCCTGCCAGAACAACAGATGCAAAATCTGGAGACATATCTCCACTGCTACAATGATCAACACCCCCCACAACTCACCTTTCAAGATCCACGGATCCTACACAAGCCTATCGCAACCTGTGGGGTACCTCATCCAGCGCACTAAATGCCCCAATAACAACGATGTGGGTGAAACCAGACAATCACGATGCTCTTGAATGAACTCACACAGGAAAATGATAAAAGACAAAACCACCCTGTCTCCTGTGGGGAACACGTCTCACAGGTCAGATACAGAGTGGTCCTCATCCTCAAAGGAAGCCTGCACAACACTTTCAAAAATCGAGCCTGGGAGCTTAAATTCATAACTCTGCTAGACACTAAAAATCATGGACTGAACAGAGACTGGATTTATGGCTCATTACAACAATCTGTAATCCACTAACCCCCTTTTTTTGTCCTATGATTGCAGAAGTGTTAACGGGCCACCCTGCCTTGAATGGTCCCTTGAAATAGGTGTTAACTACTTATTCTAAACCAGCCATTCTACCCTGTATTTACCTGTGAAACTCTGAGTAAGGGCACGTCGATACCGAAAACACTGCATCAGCCCAGCTGCACCATTGTCTACACAGGAGATTCGGTCGGTGTAACTAGCTACGTCGCTCAGGGGTGTGGATTTTTCACACCCCGGAGCAACGTAGTTATGGCAACATAGGTCTGTAGTGTAGACCAGATCTATGTTTCCAGGAGCTGAAGAAGAGCTTGTCTCTCTCACCGACAGAAGTTGGTCCAATAGAAGATATTCCCTCACACACCTTGTCTCTCCAGTTGCGTGTAAGGCCTCACAAGCTTAGCCAATTAGAAACCTCCCCTCACACCCCATCTCAAAACAGTTTTTGAATATCTGGGGCTGGACCCTGCATTCCTTGTGCAGCCAAAACCCCCACAGAAATCAGTGGAATGCAGGATCAGGACCATTGTACGTACCACAGAATGTCCCCCAGTTTTCCCCACAGCTCTGCCCTTTACACTTTGTGATGCTCCATCTCCCCCAGCACCACCTGCCCTAGCTCTCTGGAACCAGGCCAGTGTCCTGAGCTCCCTGGAAGGGTTTCGTAGAACAGAGAAGGAAATGCTGGTATTTACCATCGATGGTCACTTGGGTTCCATTCCCATGAGATGTCCCATGTTTGTTCCCAACCCAACATACGTAGGTTCCAGAATCAGTGAGGTCGGCTTTCTTCACAGTGAGGGAAAGAGACCCCTTTGCTATATCTGCTGATATTATGATTCGATCTATTACATTGTTCACCTTTGCTGTTACATTGTTTCTTGGTTTTATTCCATTCTAGCAAACCACTTGGTTG